ACAAGGAAATAATCCAGACTGTTTTCAGATTTTTTTTAAAGATTTTATTTATTTATTTGACAGAGAGAGAGCACAATGGGGAGGGGCAGAAGGAGAGGCAGAAGCAGACTCTCTGCTGAGCAAGGAGCCCAAAATGGGGCTCCATCCCAGGGCCCTGAGATCATGACCTGAGCCAAAGGCAGATGCTTAACTACTGAGCCACCCAGGTGCCCCTGTTTTCAAATTTAAAAAGGAAGTAAGAAACATTGACCTTGTGTAAGAATTACATGAAAGATCCCACATTTCTCAAAACAATCAAACAAAAAAATTGACTTTCTCACTTTCATATATATATTTTTTGCTTTCATATATATTATCTTAATTACTTATCATAAGAATCTGAAGCCTTATTTTATCTCTACGTGTATGAGGCTTTTGATACTCAAAAGGTTAAGTAGTTTATTCAAGGTAACAGTTGTGAAATTGGACTGACAAGGTTAAATCCATGCTTTTAAAAGGACTCTACGATTTACTCCTGAAGTCTTCTTCCATGCATAGTTTGGTCTCCATTGTCATAATTGTTTAACAGCTTGACATTTCGACGTATCTTAAGATATTATGGTGTAACAACTTTCTCATTCTCCAGCTCTAATTTTATCTTTTACTTAAGATCTTAGAGTAGGTGATTTAAGAACCCGAGATTTAAGAGTCCCAAAGATTGTGTAATGGGCAGTATGATACAACTTTTAGGTTATAATTGAAATCCATTCTAGAAGGTGGGGATAATTTAAGAGAGATTCATTTATTTAGTCAACACATTAATTGTGCATCCACTCTATGGTAGACAATTTTGTAGGACCTGTGGATACATTGGTGATCAGAAGAGATAAAACAACTTATTCTCTTGGAATGTACCTTCTAGTGGGAGATACAGACAATCAACAAGCAACATTAACAAAATATATAGTGTAGATTAAGTGCTGATGAGAAAAATAATGCAAGGAAAGTAATAGAGAAAAAGAACAGGGAAAAGGTGTTTGCAATTTTTTAAATATGGTGACTCAAAAAAATGCTCTGTGAGAAGGTAACATTTGAATGAGGGACTGAAGGAGAGTAGCAAGTAAGCCATGCAGCTATCTTTTGAAAGGGCATTCTAGGCCAAAGGAACATCAAAGGCAAAGCCTCTGAGACTAGAATGTTTGCAGCATATTCACAGGATGGAGCAGGCCAACTAGGTGGAAAGAACTGAATGAAGGAGAGAATAGGAAATGATATCACAGATATGCAGATGTTACAGTGCCTTGTAGACCCTTGAAAGACTTTGGTTTTTACTTTCTTTTTTTTTTAATTAACATATAATGTATTATTTGTTTCAGGGGTACAGGTCTGTGATTCATCAGTCTTCTATAATACCCAGTGCTCATTACAACACATACCCTCCCCAATGTCCATCACCCAGTTACCCCATTCCCCCTCCCCCATTCCCTCCATCAACCTTCAGTTTGTTTCCTAAGATTAAGAGTCTCTTATGGTTTGTCTCTCTCTGGTTTCATCTTGTTTCATTTTTTCCTCTCTTCCCCTATGATCCTAAGTCAATCAGAGAAAGACAATTATCATATGATCTCACTGATAATGTGGAATTTAAGAAACAAGGGGAAGAGTGGTTTTTACTTTCATTGAAATGGAAAACATTGGATGCCTTTCATCAATGAGTCATATTCCCTGAATTACATTTAAAAAGAATTTCTCTGCCCTGTTGAATATAGAGGGAAGGGGGGCAGGGGTCAAAGTGGGAAGATCAGCTAGGAGGCTCTTAAAAAATGGGTAGCTCCAACCAATTTGGTGTAGTTGAGGTGATGAGCAACGGCCAGATGTAGAAGGCAGGCCTACAAGATTTCCTCAGGGATTCTTAATGAAAGAGAAGAATCAATATGACTCCTAAGTTTTGGGCAAGAATACCTCAAAGAGTGAAGTTGTTGTTTATTGAAATGGAAAAACAGAGGGAAGAGAAGTTTTTCTGGATGGTAGAGGGAAAAGCAGGATATGATGAGGGGCTTAGTTTGGGACATATAATATTTGATACCTTTTTTAACATCCAGTGGAGATTAAATGAATGCAGAGCTATACTGACATAGAGAATTCAGCTCTAAGGCATTTGGTCTAAGCAGAGGGGATTATTGCCATCATTCAAAAACAAGTATTTCTTAAGCATCTTTTTGTGTCAAGCCCAGTACTAGGTGCTGGCATATAACATTAATAAGATATAAAATTAGTAAGGCACATAATGGTATATAGTGCATATTGTAGGTGATTAAGTAATAATATAGTGCAGTGCTCACAAATGTAGAACTTTGGAAATAAGAATATGTGTGATCCGTTATCACATTGTTACAACCATACCTAAGAGTTTCATTCAACTGGTCATCCACTATTACAACCAAACCTAATGAAACTCTTAGGTCATCCTCTTGAAGGGTTTTTGTTGTTGGTGGTGGTGGTGGTGGTGGTGGTGGTGTTTTTCATGGCTTGGCCTCCTGGAATTTCTGTTATGGCGCACTGTTATAAAGAGGGCTATTCTCACAGCTCTTTTTGGCATTTAATATCCATTGTTCTATTCCTTTCATCTTATTTATAAAATTCAAGGGTTGGGTTGTGTTTGAAGGGTCCTGCTCTCACAGTATAGTACACACAAGGTAGTTGGTGCTGATGTTTTCTGAGCTAGACGGTAATACCCGAAAGGCGAATTAATCAGTAGACTCTTGTGTTCTGTCTTTGAGTGTAATGTACTTTTCGTACTGATGTTTTGACATCTGGTGTTCTTCTCTTAATAACTCTGCATGGGGTTTTTGAAGGACTTATGAAGGCACTGAGTAAAGTAAATACATTTCTAATAATGCAACTACCCAGACAAAGGCAGGAATTTTTTGGTTTCTTCTTTTCTTTCTTTCTTTTTTTTTTGTTTTGTTTTGTTAGTGTTTTAGTTCTTTAGGATACATTTGAGAATGTGTTATACCTGCCATTTTTCCCATTATAGAAGACTGCTGTGCTGAACATTGGTGCTTGATACTCAATCACAGCATCTTTCCTTTGAGTCAAAGAAGAGAGCAAATAGCCCTCTGTTCAGGGAACCAGGTAGCACTAACCACTTTCCACTCTCAAACAGTAAAAGTAATTTAAGGTATCTGAGACCCAACACGACTTTAGTAATGTTCCCTGGAGAACAAAGCAGTTATAGCGAAATTTCATGTAGTTTTCTTTCATGATTTGAGCTCCTTCCGAGAAATATATCTAGAGTTATGCAGGAATATTTCAGAACTGTTTGACTGACAGTGTTCTAGCAGAGTTCTTTATCAAATAACTGTGAAGACTTACCTGGCGATTTGAGAAGACCTATGATTTAGGTTACAGCATAGTGACTGGCTTGTAAGAATTTCCATATTCAGAATAATCTTTGTATGAGTTTTGTATAAAGCAGAAAAGTATGAAGTTTGAATAAAAACAAACAACACTAGAAAACCTGGATATTTATGTATTTTTAAAGTGAGCTAACAGTGTGGAAGACAACTAAATGTAGTAATTTCCATCCTAAAATAAAAATCAGTGTGTATGATCTACACAGCTGAAAAAGATGTCAATTAGAAACACATTGCTTTGTTTCAACTAAAAAATTCCCCATGCTTATGTTACACTTTTACTACTTAAGCATATATCCATAAAAATCAATGTCATTGTTTTCTGTTTTTTTAAATTTTGTATAAATGGCATTATACCATATAGGTCCTTTGCCACTTACACTTTTAAAAAATCTAATACTAGGTTTTTGAGAAGTATCCATGTTTGTGACTATAAATTTAGATCACTGATTTTCTATTACTCTTCAGCATATCATTTCTATAAATCAACCATTATTTATTTGTTCCCCTACTTATGGAAATTAGGTCTTCAGGGCTTTTCAAGAAACCTACAAAGAAAAGAAACATTGGTAGTCATAGACAGTTTCTCACCTGTGCTCCAACATCTTGGCATGCTGATATGTTGGGCCACTATAAATTCTAATGCTTCACAGAAGTGGTTTTGGGTAGAGACAAACTACCATAGGGAAGGAATAGAGTTTGGAATCTTAGAACAAGGGCAGAAATGAGATAGTACACAGAACAAGGTACACGAAAGGAATGGAACTCACAGGACTATTTTAACAGAGCCCCCCCAAAATCCAGTTTTAGTACAGAAGCTTTTATGAGCTTTTTCTTTTTATTAGCCCTGTTTTATGCTGCTATCGGGGATAGTAATACTGAATGCTTATTTTCCATCTGTGTATAACAGGCTCTATTCATGCAAAACCCTTCAAGGATCAAACTTCCTGATCTCCTTAAGCCATTCAATATGAATATAAATCCAGTGAATATCCTCATTCTTTTAGATCTTCCACTAAATAAATGGTATGCATATGTGGCTGTTCATCAGAATTAACTGGGAATCTTTATAAAAATGCATACGTTTATGAACTCAACCTTGGAGATTCTGATAAAGAACTTAAATGACAGAACAATTGTATTTTTTTATTAAAAAGTCCCTTGGTGATTTAAAAAGCATTTTAGTTGAAACACCACTTCCCTAAGTGTATAACTTAATTTTTTAGAGTATTCCTTAGTGCAAGTTGTCAAAAAAAAATAGCCTATAAAAGTGATATGAGTTGAAAAAATAAAGCTTTTTCCTGAAATCGTAGGCCAGAATTATGTTGATTTGCTTCAAATATTTGTATCCTGAAAATACATATAACCAAGAAAAGTGCAAACACTATTGTCATCCCTGAATATCAAACTGATTTACACCTCAGGGAGAATATTAAATGCTTTACCTATGACCTAGAAAACCCAAATAATTAAATTATCTTATTCACTGTGCGTGCATAGGATATGTAGTACATTATGAAAATCACGCTCCGTGAATCCAGGTCCTCATAAGACTTCACAATTTGTTATGCATAATTGCAACTTATGGCTTTTCTGTTGTATTTCCAGCACAGTGATGCAGTCCATGACCTTCTTCTGGATGTGATCACGTGGGTTGGAATTTTGCTGTCGCTTGTTTGTCTCCTGATTTGCATCTTCACATTTTGCTTTTTCCGCGGGCTCCAGAGTGACCGTAATACCATCCATAAGAACCTCTGCATCAGCCTTTTTGTAGCTGAACTGCTCTTCCTGATCGGGATCAACCGAACTGACCAACCAGTAAGCAACTTACACTGATAATAGGAAAAAATGTCTCGATTTCCAGCTTTCCAGTACTTGAAATATTCTTGTTTGAAAGTACCCTCTCTTCCAGTTGTCTAAGATTGTTATTAATTTTCAGATCTTGTTCCATTTTCCCTTTTTTTTTAACCCCATTATTGTAAAGAAGCAGTGAATGTTAGGGATGTATGACTGTATATTTCTTGAGAAATTCTGTTCATAACCTTGCCTTTCTCAAGAACCGTGTCTCCTCATTAGTTTGTGTGTGTGTGTTTGTTTTGTTTTGTTTTTAAGATTTTATTTATTTGAGAGAGAGAGAACAGCAAGGGAGGGAACACAAGCAGGGGGAGTGGGAGAGGGAGAAGCAGGCTTCCCGCCGAGCAGAGAGCCCTATGCGGGGGCTCGATCCCAGGACCCTGGGATCATGACCTGAACCGAAGGCAGACGCTTAACGACTGAGCCACCCAGGTGCCCCATGTTTTGCTTTGCTTTTGTCAGAACAGAATATTGAGGAAAGTTAAGTAAAATCATTTGGGGAATGGAAAGGTGTCTTTCCTAATTTATATAACTGTCATTTTTCGAAGTTTATCACAGGCTTTTTTTTAAAAGTCTATTTATTTTTTTTAGTAATCTCTATACCCAAAGTGGGGCTCAAACCCATGATCCCAAGATCAAGAGTTGCATGCTTTTCCCACTTAGCCAGCCAGGTTCCCTATCATATACTTAAAAAAAAAAACAGTTTATATCATATTTAAAACATCTAAAGTGAGTTTTTCGAATTGACATATTTGGAAAATAGTTCAAACGATAGGTCATTTTTAGAATTTATAAACTCTTCCCAAATTTTGTTTGACACTTTATATTTGCACAAGTTCTGTTTACACCTCTAATGTCAGCTTTGTACTTTACTACAAACTACGTTTAGTCATATCAGAAAATAAAGAAGAGGAGGAACAGAAGGAAGTAGGGGAAGAAAGGCAGGGAAAGAGGCAGCACTAACCAACTGCTTTTGGTAAAACCAAACAGAAAATATGAGTAACAGATAGTATCTAATTACTCAACAGACTCTACACCTACTTACACTTTTTGTGAGGCCCGCTCTATTGACTTAAGATTCATAGTCCATGGTCGGTCTCATGACTAAAACTATAATTGAAAAGAAAACTTCCATTTTTTAGAAGACGTGTAGGCATAATAAATAATTCATTCACTTAATGCTGTTCTCTGGTATGTGTCCATAAGTATGGAGTACTTTACAATAAAAATGCAGTTGGATTCATGTTTGTGATTACACATCCATGATTAATGGCTGTAAAGGGTACAATTATGATGATTATACTTTTAATTGGTTATCATATACAAATTGACAGCTTTTCCCATAAATGCATACATATGAATAAGCAATCAAAGAGCACATTTCTTTTCCCAAAAAAGTGAAGCCTTCTGATAACAAAAATTAATAGTTGAAGTTCTAACTCTAAAAAGCAAGAAATGGAAAACTGTGTTATTTTCCAAGAAGAAATCATTTCATTCTCTTGTTAACCTGCAATTCAAAAGCCTTGTGATTTCTTTTCATTTAGAAACCGTATTCTTACTTTTGTTTCCATATGGTATGACAAATTTTACCACATGTTGCGTACTGCACAAAACTAACTTCTGACAAGTAGCATAGAGAACAAAGATTGATATGAAAAGTTGGAGTAGAGTACATCTTAGCTCAACTTGTCTTTCTTTTTGTTCCTGGATAGGTGTCCTTTTTCTGACTCTTAGGTGGTGGTTAGGCTCTGCTTTCTCTCTAGCCTGCTGACATTGGACATCCTCATCTCCCTTCATTGTCATTTCTCCCACTCAAGGAAACTGACCTGCCCTTTGTCTCTTTCTCAAGGATCACACTCATCATTGAATCCATTATAATCTGATAATGTCTATAAATTTGTTGCCCTTTTCTAGTAGGAGATATAGATTTTAGTTAGGATTTCTTTTTTTTTTTTAAGATTTACTTATTTAGTTGAGAGAGAGAGAGAGTGTGCACATGGGGGGGGGGGTAAAGGCAGAGGGAGAGGGAGAGATCCTAAGCAGACTCCATGCTGAGCGTGGAGCCCCACCAGGCTTGATCCTACAATCCCCGAGACCACAACCTGAGCTGAAACCAAGAGTCAGAAGCCTAACTGACTGCTCCACCCACGCGCCCCTAGGATTTCTTAAATAAAAAATAAAGACCCCCACTTCCCCCCAAGGAGTGAGAATTTCAGAATTGACATAAGAAAATTAATATATGGTCGGATGAAACTTGTAGTGCCTTAGAGAATATGCCAAAATAAGGACAGGCTGTCTTTTTTGACCAAGCTTGTCTAGCCCAACATTTCTTACAATAACAGAAAAATGAGAGAAAGAAAGCACTCTGGAACATTTTATTTTATTTTAACCAGACCTACTTTTATACTTTGCAGCATGAACTTCTCAATGCCATCTTAAATCCTTTCTGAAATCAGGCAGGGAAGAAGTAAATCAGCAAATAGTAATAACGAAGTAATAACCCCATCACAAAATACTGTAATTATTACATTTTTTAACTTTAAGAGCTTTTATTCTCCTTGGTTTTAATGTTTCTTTTTCATTTACAGTTGAAGAACTTAATGATACAACACACATGATTATGGCCAAGAAAAATAATGCATGAGATACTGTTTTTAAAACTTTAGACTAATCTCAGTAATAAGAAAAAATTAATAAAAAATAATAATAATGTTTCCTTATCATCCTATGCTGTCATCTCTAAGCTATTATTAATAAAATGTTAAATGTGGTTTTGAAAGATAGGTTATATTTAATTAGGTTTTAATATCTGAATTGTAAGAATCTTGTCTAGATTATTCTTTTGCAGACCTCTTATGTTACCGCAGTCTTGATAAATGTTTATTTTGATGTTATGGTAGTTGAGAATATTTCATTTGGTTGTTACTGGAATCCTTTGTTCCCTTCCCTAGATTGCTTGTGCTGTTTTCGCTGCCCTCTTACATTTCTTCTTCCTGGCCGCCTTCACCTGGATGTTCCTGGAGGGAGTGCAACTCTACATCATGCTGGTGGAGGTTTTCGAGAGCGAGCATTCCCGGAGGAAATACTTCTACCTAGTGGGATACGGGATGCCCGCACTCATCGTGGCTGTGTCAGCCGCGGTAGACTATAGGAGTTACGGAACAGATAAAGTGTGAGTTTATCATTTCTTTCCTCTTTTCCCTCTCTTTTGAAATCTAGTTGAAATAAATGCTTTGGATTTTCTTGGAAGCTAAGGTCTTTATAATACCTCCCAGCAAGAAATGATTGAACTGGAGAAGCAACTGGGGATAATTCAATTCATGGTTATACTTTTGTTATGATATAGAAAGAGAAGAAAAATCCTGAGATTCAGTAGGATGCTGTTTAAAACAGCTTAATTTTCCCACAGCTACATCAGAGCCTTGAGTAATTATAAGAAGATGAGTGCTTTAATATCTTTCAGAGCATTGAGACATTTGTCAAATGAAGAACTAGCTATGTCAGAAAGTGTGTGTTCAGAGGACAGTGCAGTCCCTGATATTAATGGCTTCTCTTCTTCCTGACCTGTCAGTTCTAGTCACTGGAAAAAAATTTATATCATTAACAGAAAGAAAAACAATAGGAGCAGGGGCAGCTTGTAATTCCCCCTCCCCTTTTTTTTCCTAGGTGGGTATTGGGTTGTAGTGATGAATGTTATTTTCACTATACACTCAGATTGGTGAGACATACATGAAGTGATGTCCAGCATACTGGAAAGGAATTCAGTGAAAAATATTTTTGTAATCCACATCAATATAACAGTTGGCATCCTGAGAATGAATGAAAGTTTCAATAGAAAAAGATTAGAAAGAAGACCAAGATAGAGTTCCGATGAATGCCCACATTTAGGACATAGTTTGAGGTGGGGAAATAAAAATAAGGACAGACAAGAGCCCTAAAAGAGAATGAGAACCTTAAAAGAGAATGAGAAGGCCATTTCAAGATGGTGTTTCAGAACACCATCTGCGGTGTTCTATATCAAAGATAATTCAAGTAGGATAAGCACTGAGGAAAAATTATTTGTCCTTTGCAACAATTATTTTGACAGTGCTGGAAGCAGAAGCCAAATTGGAAGTTTCAAAGAAATAAGTCAATAGCAAGAAAGTAGAGTCTTAAAGTATTACCTATACCCTGAAAAAGTTTGATTGAGAAATAGTGAAAAGATTAACTTGTGGTTACAGTAATGAAGAAGAATTTTTAAAAATGAAGTCCAAAAAATGTCTAGGGGTGGGAAGAATCAGTGTGATAGGAGGAGATTAATAGAGGGAAAATATCTTATGCCTCATTTGTATGTAATATATAGAGAGGCTGAATGAAAGTGAAAGGTCCTAAAGGAATAGAAAGGCATAAGATTATACATAAGATTAAGAAAACCTTGATTTAATACAGGAAGTGGCTTTGCAATTCACCTAGCCCAAGACATTAATTTCACAGATGAAAAAATCAAGGACCAGGTAAATTAATTGCCTTGCCCATGGTTATAGAGCTAGATAGTGGCAGATGTGTGATAAAATAAATCAGATTTATTTCCACTGAACTAGGAATGGTTTTGGAAAAGTAAAATGACCCCTCTCTTCTGAGATGAGTGTGAAGGAAAGAACAGATAAGATGAATTTCAAAGTGGAACCACTTTTCCATCAAGTAGAAGAAGCTGACTTTTGCTGTGTGAGTAGGCGAGGTCACGTTGAGAGGACAGGAGATTTGAAAAGTCTTGAAATGAGCACTATGGAAAATGTGTTAAGGAGTCAATTAGACATTAATTAAAAGATTTCCAAGCAGTAGTGAAAGCTCAGATGAGGTTAGATAACATCAATTTGTACAAAAGTTAATAAGCCAAATTTCATGACTTTCCACCAGCAATCAGCAGCCTGAATATGCTGGCAATAAAGCAGCTCACTTCCCAGAAGAGAGGATTCATAAGGAGGGAAGACAAGCAGAAGCATTATTCGGAGCATAAAGTAGAATATGTGTCGGTTCAGAGGCACCAACAATACGGTTGAAAGAAGACCATCTCACTTCTGTTGAATTTTTCTTTCTTTAGTACAGGGAAGGCTATAAAAGGCCATTTGTCTAAACATAACTAATACTAATTATTTTTTAATCCAACCTTTATGAATTGTGGTCAAATCTGAGTTCATTTTGTGGATCCCAGTGACAACTTTGGAAAGAATTAGGATTAGATAAAAATATTAAAATGCTTGCTTCTAAGGACCTCTGAGGTGAGGGGAAATTAGGTAGATCAGACTTTTTAAAAAAAATAATACCTTTACTGATATAATTCACATACCATAAAATTCACTCTTTTAGAGTGTATACTTCAGTAGTTTTTAGTACATTCACAGTGTTATGCACCCATCACCACCACCTCATTTTAAAACCTTTTCATCACCTGAAAAAGAAACCCACTAGCAGTCATTCCCCTTAGGTCATAGGATTTTACATTTTAATTAATGCATATCCCCTCTAAGATATCAAATTGCGTGATATAGTGATTTGTGACCTTCTACTATTCAAATATTGTTCTTAAGAAATTCCATTTTGCTCTCTTGCAGCCCCTGATTTGCTTTTATATGTTGTTGTTTTTATCTTTTTAGATATTTGCTAATTTTCCTGTTCCTAAACTGACTCAAACTCACTTGCTTTGCGTTTTAATCATTTATTTTGAGACCGATGTCATTTTCTGGATAGTAGGGATCTATCTTTTCTTAGAATCAATAATATATAAGTCTCTTGTGACTGTTCAAGCTTTGGCCATCATTGCTTTAATTTCCTGCACCAAAACTGAAGCTCTCATTTACTGACATTATTACTGTGTGGGAATAGAGGCTAATTTACTTCCCAGGCACCGTTTTAAAATAAGCCTTCATAATAGTTCAGTTCCACAATTATGATATTTCCCAACACAAAGAGCAGCAAAGCCGATATAGAGAAAAGGGAAGATAGATGAAAGAGGGAGAGAAAAAAATAAGGAACATTGCTTTAAAATTCTATCCCAGGCAGACACAGAGTATTTAGTGTCTCATTTGTACATTGTAAATAAATCGTCCGCAGAGGAACCTTCCAGAATACATGGGAAAAATGTTTAACTTCTACCAATTGGGAACGCATCCAATCCAGGGTCTATTTTGCCCATTGAGGAAGCAGGTGTGGAAAAAGAAACATCATTCAGGCATTTGTATTTACTTGAGAAGCTGAAATGAACAGGTCATGTTTTCCATCAGGAGTTTAATCAAGATATCTTCTCAAAGAAAAATATAAACAATGAATTTTTACAGAACTCGAAGGATTTCTGCATATAGAATTATATACCTTGTTCCTTATTATCAAATCTGTCTTTGTTGTTCTGGTTTCTATTACTATCGTCGATTGCTTTTATTTGACTGTCGATGGCATTCCTGACTGCCTGTTCATCTCATGACTTTTTCTCATGTAAATCTATCTCAAATTGTGCTGTTGTTTTTTTGTTTGTTTATTTGCCAGTGTTACCTTCTTATATGCTACATTGATGTTTTTAATACAAATATATAAAGTAAACAGTCTTAAATAAACTGGAATTAGCCAGAATTCAGGGAGACACATATTTTCAGCCCTTTTCTGTAAATTCTTATTAAGCTCAATACAATGAATTTTATGTCTCAGAAATCTATTTCACTTATTTTTGGAACTTTGTTATTAAATTTTTACTTCAGTTTCAACCACTCAGAGTACATCTAGAATAAACCATTGAATATATATTATACTAATCCAAATAATAATAAACATTCTTCCCTTTTCTTTCCTCTTAATGTATCTAATTATATTTTATTATCCTGACAATGAAGTTTTATTGCTGAAACCTTTAACAATAGTAATAATAATAGCTTACATTTCTAAAAAGCAGAGATTCATATCAATGGTAGGAGATAAAATTAGAAATAAAATTAGTTTTGTAGGTTAGATAACTGTTATTTTGATACAGATAGTGCTAACTATCATATTCCATCTGACTGATGGATTATGATGTGTTTTTCTATGAAATTTTAGGGTTGTTGAACCGATTATTATGTACAAAACACATACACACAAAGCACACATAATTTGATTTTGAGAAGTTGCTTAGTTTGCCATCAATTTGCAAGACTTGTAAGAGAATTTTATTATTATTTTTTGATGTTGTTTAATCAAATCTTTTTATCTGTACTGAGATTATCTCGAGAATGTATTTAGAATTACATTTAGTCACAATATTTGGACATTTAAAAAATTAGATTAGAAGACCAGTACAATCATAAAAAAAAAAAAAAAAAAAAAAAAAAAAAACCTCTCAGCTAGTGGACCACAGTTCTAAATTGCAGTGTTAACAATAGGCATTTATTCAATTTTATCTCTGTTTTTTTTAAATCTTCCCTTAGTCTCTCTTATAGTCTTATTCATATGCACATTCAGTGAAGCCATCCAATAAATGATACTGTCAGAAGATAAAAGCTGGCATTGACTTAGCAATAATTTAAACATGGCTGATTTAGAAATTCTGTGCTAGATACTTTTATTTTATGAGCTGAAACTAATTAGTTCATGTAAACTTTAATTACCTCAATATTATCAAAAAAATACAAACCGTTTTAACAGTTAATTTTTTTTTAACAGTTAATTTTTATTTAAAGAGAACTTCACATTTATAGTTTATACCACTTCCCTCACAATCCAAGTATACAATGGAAAAAAGAGTGGTTAATGTGATGGGTAGATTGGAAAAGGAGTGGGAGCAGGTTCCAGAAGGAAGGAGGGCTCTGGAAAGGAGTGAAGCCTGAGGAATAGCCCAAGACTTAAAATATGGGCTTGAAAATTTGTAAGGGGTTTCCAAAAGATGTCAATTAGGTCATAAACAGTTATAACGAATCAGAACATCCTTGAGTACTAGAAGCATAACCAAGGTCTTAAAAATAATTGAAATCAAATTTTATGATCTGAAAATTATTATAAGTCATCTATTAAGTCGTATTTGTCTCCCTAGCTCACTAGTTTAAGGACAACTCTAAAAGAGGTAGGATCTCCTCTGCTAGTTAAAAGCCATTCCCTGCCCCCACCCCCAGTTTCTTATTTTCACTTCATTATTCAACCAATATAATCATTTGGGTAGAAAAGTGATTATTG